GGAGGTTTGAGGAAGTACTTTCATGTGTGCCTCCAAAGTGTTTCAGGTCATAGTTCACCAGAAGATAACGATGTAGATGTACATTCAGAATTAGCAGCAGAGATACCTGTGTTGAAAACTGAGCCAGCTATATCCCTTGTGGATGCTAAGAATCAATTACTGTATTCTGAATACAAGGTTGGCTGCAGGGGATAAACAGATGTCAGAAAATGTTTCCCTAATAAGACCCCAGCAAAAGAAGAGGCCTGTCACTTTCAATTTACATTAAGAAGATAATTTCCTCTTTATAGGGCCAGTTTCATTACACATTCACACATATTATATGCAATTCTTTAAAAAATATGAGCCACAAATGGCTAAATTCTAAGCATGTAGGAAATAAAAAAGGAAAAAAAAATCTATGCAGTTGTTAAACTGCCTTACAATATAATTTGGTTATTAAAAAAAAAATCTAAATAATTACTATAAAATATTAATATGTTTATTAAACACCAAATATATTCCCCACTAATTGAATACACACATGCAGAAGAATATACCACTCAGTATTTTAATAACCATAAGTGCCTGAAGGCAAATGGTTAAATAATAATTATTGAAAATAATAATACGAAAGTATTTAACCAGGAAAGGTATATTACATTAACAGTATAGGCTGCATGATTTTAACCTCCTGTTTTAACCATGCAGCAGAAACATAAACAGTGCCATTTTATGTGGGTTAACCTGCCTCCAGTGGCTGTCATACAGAAAGACTGTCTGATTGGCCCTGACGTGCATGTGCACTAGCTTTAGGAAAGCATTGGATTGGCTGAGATCATTGAACACGATGATCTCAGCTAAAGAGGCGAAGCTTCAGCAAAGAGACCGGAGCTGCAAGTAAAGTAGTTAAGTAAACCACCTTTTATATCCCTGACAATGGGGGCCTGGTCATCTAAACTGTGACTAGGGCACTATAGTGTTAGAAATACACATTTGTATTTCTAGTACTATAGTGTTTCTTTAACCCCTTAAGGACCAAACTTCTGGAATAAAAGGGAATCATGACATGTCACACATGCCATGTGTCCTTAAGGGGTTAAGCTTGTCTCTTGTCTTATTATATATCTTGTTATTTTTTTTTTTTTTTTATATATATATGTTGATGTTGAGATACAGGCAGACAGGGGATCTAATTTAAAGCATAAAGGAACAATTTATTAAATAAAGAACAGTTATACTAGAGATTTACGTTTGGGAGGCCCCTCTCTAGCAGAGCTGCAAAACTGGTGGAGGACAGTTGCTCTTGTGATTCTTGTGCAATAAATAAGCCCACATGTGATGTTTGAATAAGAACAGAACTGTGATGTATATCGAACAGTGTCAACTTGATATTTTTAGTGAGGACTGTGTACACATTGATATTTTTATACCTTCCAATGGGCACGTTGAGCTTGTTTTGCTCCAGGCCCCACAAGTCCTTAATCCACCCATGAGTATTAAAAGTTATGTAAAGAACATCACAACTTCTTTGTCAGTGACACTGTTACATTTTACACTGTATCTTCTCTCAGGTTATACCAAGAAAGATTGTGTTTATGTGTAGTGGAAATGTAATATTGTTCATGAGATGAGACATTTTTTATTTACATGGCAGCTTTTACTTCTGTGGTAAGTTGTAAAAACTGTTATTTTTTGTTTTCTTTCTACCCTGAAAAATAAATTATAAGAAGCTATTCTTCTAAATGTACAACAATGTGTACAAGCTCTTCAGAACAAACTGAGAAAATAACTGAAAAACTAAGAAAGGTCAGGGATGAGGATTTGACTTCTCTTTGGACCTTGTTAATCTTTTGTAGTGATTAGTAGTTATAGCATTACAGATCAGTGGCATTTCAGATCAGTGGCAGAACAGGTGCAAGAATTTGCACAGTTGGGGCTCCTTCTATTCCCCTCTTCAGAGTAGACAGCCCCCCTCCCCACACATACACACTGTACTTTGTTCCTGGCTGAGCTGGTGAGTCATTATACCACCCACAGTACTGACAATCAGCCAGCAAAACCCCACACACAATCCCCCCTCTTCCTATTGCACTTTAGTCACTAGTCAGCCAGTACTTAAGCCCAAGCCACTATCTCCACTATCTGTCCCTCTCTCTCCCCAACTATATTCCGGTAATGAACAAGAAGTGCCTTTAGTCTCTGGAGTCCATCTGACTTCAATAAGTCTCTCTGCCTCTTTTCATTAACATTCTGCCACTGTTGACAGTACCTTGGCAGCCAAGAAGGTAAATAATCATATAGCTCCCAAATGTATTATATGCTAAAGTCTTTCCTATACTACATAGTTGACATGGTCCATGTACTGTGGGTTAAAACTCTGCTAGACATTTTTAGTGGATATAGATCTATAATATAATGAAAATACCATTTAATTTATTGTTTTGTCTATGTGTGTTTTCTGTAATTTAAAAATGGATGTTTAAATAAAGTTGGTAAACGTATGATAGTTAGTAGTAATGACAAACACTGAGCCCATCCAATACATTTAAGATGACAGTCAGCAGTGCAGTATTAATGCCAAGTGATGCCAAAAGGCAAATACAATATACAGAAAAGCAAAAAACTTGAATAATATATAATAATATAATCAACATTACTGACATAAGCATGCCTCCAAGCTAGAACTACCCTGGCGCTGTTACCCCATAATGGGGCAAGCCATTTTGCAAAGGTTTCCCCTCTGAGCTGAGTTCTCACCAGGTGTCGGGTGTGAGACCATCTGTACTTACCTTGGTGGACCGCTGCTTCTGAGCCTCCTACCCGATTTTCTAACCTCCAGGACACTGGCCGCTGTGCACACATCCCCTTTTACTGATGCAGGGCATGTTCGCTGGCGTCATGATGTCAGTGGGGCTAATTACACTATCCACCAATGTATTTTCAAATTTTGTGAGTGTGGTCACACTAGATATGCCCTCAAAGATATAAAACCTCAGTTAGCCCGATCCACACAGTGCCCCGTTGTGGTTCCTGAGTTCCCCAAGAGTGCATTTGTAATTTCTATTGTCCTTTGGTATTTTGACAGCTATTCTCTGACTATACTTGTTTTTTGCCTTCCTTGACCTGGCTTTGGCTTTCGTATTTGTGATTTCTGGCTTTCATTGACCTTGGCTTGTTCTGACGTTCTTATTTATATTTATTTATTATCGATCAGCCCAGCCACACTAAGGACCAGTGTAGGTAATTTCTCTGTCCCTCTTTTGGTCGGTTTATAGTATGCGTATATGGGTCATATACCTGTGACACATGATCTCCTTGAAGCAGGGTTAATGATATCCAGCTTTTGTGGCTCTGATATTATCATATCATCATAACATCATATCATAAACTAAATGTTTGCTGCCAAACTTATGTGTATTGAAATGGGTACAGAATGTACACTCTTATTCCGACTGGCTAAGGATGTCCCAAGGACACTGTCGGAGATGGAATTACAGCAAAGAAGTTAAACTCTGTAAGTCTAGTATTTCAAAGTGAAACTCTGCACGTACAGAATCCAGGCACCAGAATCACTTAGAATCACTTTAAGAGCCACAGCAGAAAACTTGGGTTGAACTTCTTGTATGTAGTTTACCTGACTTGGTTGGTTTCACAAGTTTATTAACTAAATTGCTGGAAGTAATGTAACTACTGTCAACTGGCTAATGCACCCATCCAGTCTTACTGTAATCTTGGCTATCCTTTAGTTACATTTGTAACCTACTTATTGTAGTTGAACCTATTGGGACACTGTTAGATTGTGAATTAGGCAACTGCTCTTTCTCCATGATTAATCAATCCGCCATTCAATTAAATTCTTCCTTTGTGTAATTAATTATTCATTTCAGTACAGACGTAGGTATATTTGCCTTCACCATCAGTATGCAAATATTCTTTACATTCTCCTGATTAAAATTTCAATAAAATGCAAGTCCTAAATAAACAAAATAATTATTATAATGCAATGAATTATAATGGTTTCAGTTTGTGATTACATTGATTTTGATACTTCAATCTAATTTTGAAAAGGATAATATAGTAAGTCGTTTACTATGAATGTATAACAAATTTCAACTAACAGGTTATGTATACTTAAATGGATTTTTAAAACAAAACAAAAAAACAAAGAATTTTGAATTAAAGGGATACTGTAGGCATTAAAACAACTTTAGCTTAAAGGAACACTTTAGGGTCAAGAACACAAACATGTATTCCTGACCCTATAGTGTTAAAACCACCATCTAGCCCCCCTGGGCCCTTCATGCCTCCTTAAATACAGCAAAATCTTACTTGTATTCAAGCCTGAAGCTGTAGCTCTGCATGCTGTTTGACTCAGAAAAACAAGCTGTCTGCTGACATCATCAGAAGTGGTGGCCTGATCCAATCACAATGCTTCTCCATAGGATTGACTGAGACGGACAAGGAGGCAGATCAGGGGCAGAGCCAGCACAATGGCCAATCAGCATCTCCTCATAGAGATGAATTGAATCAATGAATCTATATGAGGAAAGTTCAGTGGCTGCATGCAGAGGAGATACTGAATGTTTAGATGCATTTTAGGCAGCCGTGACCCAGGAAGGATCTCTAATAGCTATCTGGGGAGTGGCCATGGAAGTTATCAAGTGAAGTTATCACTAGGCTGTAATGTAAACATTGCATTTTCTCTGAGAAGACAGTGTTTACAGCAAAAAGCCTGAAGGTAATGATTCTACTCACCAGAACAAATTCAATAAGCTGTAGTTGTTCTGGTGACTATAGTGTCCCTTTAATGAAGCAATTTTGGTGCATATAGTATGCCCCTGCCATTTACAAGTTAAACTCTCTGCCATTTACAAGTTAAATCACTTTTGTTTTTGTCTAGAAGCCCTATTTACACCTACATTGGCTGTGACTGACACGGCCTGCATGAAAAAAAAGTTGTCTTTTTTTTCAATCAGATGCTAATTTATGTTATAAGTAGTGATGTCCCTCACAGTCAGCAGACACATTCCAGCCAATCAGCAGCAAACCCTCCCTCCCAGACCCTCCCACCTCCTGGACAGCTCACTAAGAATGCAGCTTCAAAATGGATGCTGTCCAGGAGGTGGGAGGGTCTGGGAGGGAGGGTCTGCTGCTGATTGGCTGGAATGTGTCTGCTGACTGTGAAGTACAGGGTCAAAGTTTAGTCAATGATGCGTCCGTGGCGAACCGTTCGTGGCGAACCGTTTGCGAACCGTTCGGCAAACCGTTCGGGGCATCACTAGTTATAAGTTTTATCTACTGCTCTGTAAATTGAACTTTTTTACACACAAGACTCCTACGTGGTCTGGAAGGTATTAGTATAACAGAAGGATTAACAATAGACAAGCATGAGGGAAAATAAAATAAGATTATATTACAGGCTGTTTTTATGATGAACTTGAATATTGTTTTGTTTTTTTTCAATCGATTTTTAAAAATTTTTTGCACTTGTCAATAGCTCTAGTCTGAAAACATTGAAAATCTCTTCCAAAATATTTGCCATTTTCATAATTGCTTTGCTAATAATATGCACAACTCTTGCAGCGATTGAAAAGTGTTTGCTTTTCCTGAAGAAGGGATATATTTAACAAAATGTAAAATCTCTGCATGGTAGGAGAAAAATAAATGGAATGGATGAAACTATATTAACTCCTTAAAGGACCGCTATAGGCACCCAGATCACTTCAGCTTAATGAAGTGGTTTGGGTGCCAGGTCCATCTAGTGTTAACCCTGCCTGCTGTAAACATAGCAGTTTCAGAGAAATGCTTTCCTATGGACTGACTGAATGTGCACGCAGCTCTTGCCGCGCATGTGCATTTAGCCGATGACGACCGAAAGAGGAGGAGAGTCCCCAGCACCGAGGGAGCCCTGCGCTGGAGAAAGGTAAGCATTTAACCCCTTCCTCCCCCTTCAGCCTGGGAGGGGGACCATGAGGGTGGGGGGGACCTATTAATACTATAGTGCCAGGAAAACTAGTTTGTTTTCCTGGCACTATAGTGGTCATTTAACCCCTTAAGGACACAGCTTCAGAAGCTTGACTTACGCTTAATGACACAAGCAATTTTTGCATTTTCTTGCTGTTTGCGTTCAACTGCAATTTGCATCTCTCTCATTTATTGCACCGACACATATTATATACTGTTTTTTAAAGGACAGAAAGGGCTTTAATTTGATATAACATATATATATATATATATGCTTACTTATTATAAAAAAAATACAGAAAAATGCAAAAAAAATGAAAAATATTGTTTTTTTTTACAGTTTTTGCAATAATAATGTGTGCATAATTAGTGCAGGTTAAGGAAAGTAATTAAAAATAAATTTATTTATTTGTTCTGATTTACAGAATATATAATGTGTCTGGGATTTTAAGTTTTTTTTGGTAGTTACAGGTCACAAAGCACAAGGAGTAAAATAAACTTTTAATGTGGAGCGATTTTAGAATTTGGTATGTTTGTCTTGTAAGCTTAATAGCCATAAAAGAAAACAAAATTGCCACACAAAAGTATATATTTATATAAAGTAGACATCACGGGCTATTTACCTAAGGTTGTTTTGACACTTTCTACGTAGCCATTTCACCGCCAACCTCTGCTAAATATTGGAGTAAAATTGTGTTCTTTTTGGTTTTTGGCACACAAACTTATAACAGAGAAATTCTCGTGTATATTTTGTAAAGTTGGTGTGTGCTATTCCTGTACAAAGTTTTATTTTGTGTTCAGTTACATCTGCTGAGTAAAATGACACCCCATTGTATGTCTTTTGCACTATTTCGTGAAGTTACAGTGCCATACAGGATACCTGTCCTTTTCAGTATTCACAGTAGAATTTTGAGAGATGGATTTAATGAGCCTTAGCTTCCATTTGGGGTATTATAACAGTTTGACTGTTCAAAAAACCCCCACAAAGGCCTACCATTTGTAAAAGTAGACACTCCAGGGTATCTTATAAGGTGCATATTGTGCCTTAACATGCCCCCATTTTTTCACCAATATATGCCAAAGTATGTGGTAAAAAATAATTTTGTGCATTTTTTACATACGGATTGCATTTTTGCTGGGCGTTTTGTATATTTCATATGTGCCACTAAGTTCAAACCCCCCAAATTATGCTCAGCTAAGTCTTCTGAGTAAAATGACACCCCATATGAATGTCTTTGGCACTATTTCGTGAAGCTACAGTGCCATATAGGAGACCTGTCCTTTACAGTATTCACAGTAGAATTTTGAGAGATGGATTTAATGAGCCTTAGCTTCCATTTGGGGTATTATAACAGTTTGACTGTTCAAAAAACCCCCACAAAGGCCTACCATTTGTAAAAGTAGACACTCCAGGGTATCTCATAAGGTGCATATTGTGCCTTAACATACCCCCATTTTTTCACCAATATATGCCAAAGTATGTGGTAAAAAAATTATTTTGTGCATTTTTTACATACGGATTGCATTTTTGCTGGGCGTTTTGTATATTTCATATGTGCCACTAAGTTCAAACCTCCCAAATTATACTCAGCTAAGTCTTTTGAGTAAAAATACACCCCCAATGAATGTCTTTGGCACTATTTTGTGAAGCTACAGTGCCATATAGGAGACCAAGCCATATCCGTTTTTACCAAACTTTGAATTTTGACGCTGGGCCTATGTGCAATTTCCAAGCATCTTCGCAGGTTTTAAATTCAAACTACCCCACAAAGGCCTACCATTTCTTAAAGTAGACACCCCAGGGTGTTTCAAAAGGTATAGTTTGAACCTTAGCGTGGGATCATTTTTCCGCTAGCTTGTACCAGATGTAGTGGTAATAAGCGTTTTTTCTGCCTTTTTGACATACAAAGTGAGTTTGCACAGTATATTTTGCAAACCTTATGTGTGCTACGACTGTATAATACTTCATATGTTGCTCAGCTATGTCGGCTGAGTACAGCAATACCCCCGTATGTACCTTTGCCAGGTATGTGTGGACATCGGAGGGGCACATTTGGGACACAGCCATTCCAGTTTTTTTCAAACTTTGAATTTTTATGCTGTGCCTATGTCCCATTTTAGAGTATTTTACCAGGCTATATAATCCAAATTCCCCATAAAGCCATACCATTTCTTAAAGAAGACATCCCAGGGTATTTCAAAAGGCATATTTTGAACCTTAGCGTGGGATCATTTTTCCGCTAGCTTGTACCAAGTGTAGTGGTAATAAGCATTTTTTCTGCCTTTTTGACATACAAAGTGAGTTTGCGCAGCATATTTTGCAAACCTTATGTGTGCTATGACTGTATAATACTTCATATGTTGCTCAGCTATGTCGGCTGAGTACAGCAATACCCCCGTATGTACCTTTGCCAGGTATATGTGGATGTTGAAGGGGCGCATTTGAGACGCAGCCATTCAGTTTTTTTCTAACTTTGAAGTTTTACGCTGTGTCCATGTTCCAATTTGGAGTAGTTTAGACGGTTGGTTATTGAAACTTCCCCACAAACACATACTATTTATTAAAGAATACACCCTGGGGTAATTCAAAAGGCATATTTTGAACCTTGGCGTGGGATAATTTTTTCTCTAGTTTGTTCCAGGTGTAGTGGTAATGAGCATTTTTAAAATGTATTTTTTTACTTTTTATAACTGTTTTACTTTTAAAAACTAGTTTTGAAACTTTTGTTTTGCTTATAAATTTTTTTTAAACTTTCCTAAACTTTCTTAAAACTTTTTTACAGATTTAACATTTTTCTAAGCTTTTTTTTTTTACCGTTAACCCCTAACTAGCAGTACGCAGCACTAACAGTAAATTCCCCATTTTCCCATAACTCCCACCCACCCCAGCTAGCAAAATATATAGTTATAAAATATTTAAATTAATTAATTAAATAAATTGAACCCCTGAGGGTTAAAAAAATAAATAAAAGTTAATCCTCAGGGGTTAAAAAAAATTAGATCACAGTATAATACTGTGATCTCTATTTGATCGCTGTAGGCAGTGATCGACTGGCAGGGAAGGGGTTAATTTTTATTTGGACTAGGTAAAGTGTGTTTTTTTTGTTTTTTTTACTTAAATGTTATTAAAAAAAATTTTTAAGCTTAATTTTTAACTTTTTAAAGTTTCTTTTAAAACTTTTTTTTAACGTTAACCCCTAGTTAGCCTAACGCCAAATCCCCCAATTCCCCACTAACTTCCACCTACCCCAGCTAGCTAAATATATAATTAAAAAATAATTAAATTAATTAATTAAATAAATTGAACCCCTGAGGGTTAAAAAAATAAATAAAAGTTAATCCTCAGGGGTTAAAAAAAATTAGATCACAGTATAATACTGTGATCTCTATTTGATTGCTGTAAGCAGTGATCGACTGGCAGGGAAGGGGTTAATTTTTATTTGGACTAGGTAAAGTGTTTTTTTTGTTTTTTTTACTTAAATGTTATTAAAACATTTTTTTAAGCTTAATTTTTAACTTTTTAAAGTTTCTTTTAAAACTTTTTTTTAACGTTAACCCCTAGTTAGCCTAACGCCAAATCCCCCAATTCCCCACTAACTTCCACCTACCCCAGCTAGCTAAATATAGAATTAAAAAATAATTTAATTAATTAATTTAATTAATTTAACCCCTGAGGGTTAAAAAAAAAAGAATTAACCCTCAGGGGTTAAAAAAAAAATCAGATCATAGTAAAATGTAATCCCTGCCAATTGATCACTGTAGTCAGTGATCAATTGGCAGGGAAGGGGTTAATTTTTTATTAAAATGGGTAATGGGGGGGGGGGACTTTAAATAAACTTTATTTTTTTAAACAGCAGGGGGCAGGATCAGCACTGATCCGGCTCCCTGCACTTCACACAGAACCCGGAAGTGCAGGGAGCCGGTAGGTAGTATACAGAGCACATGTGCTCGCTCAGACTTGCGGTCAGAGCGAGCACATGTGCTGGGCAGCTGACCGGGTGCTCCCGGTATGCCTCTAATGCAGAGGCATACCGGGAGCACCATTAACCCCGCGATCGCCGCGATAGCGGCGATCCGGGGTTAATTTTACTGCGTGACGGACGAGGTCCGTCACCCGTCGTTAAGGGTCTCCCCTCTGTGATGGACCTCGTCCGTCACCCGTCCTGAAGGGGTTAAGGACGGAGGCAATTGTACAAGTTCTGTCAATATTA